CATCTTTCACTTTCTTCGTGTTTTGTCCCTTGAATCACATATTTCCTTCGGAGTCCTTTCTTTTTGCAAATTAATTTAGTGCTCATTTCTTTCATTTTTTTTTTGAAATTTTCCATTTTTCTTCTTTTTCATTCTCTCTTTTCACTTCTGATTCATTTTTTTCTCTTGTCATTCTTTCATTATTTTTAATCAACCTCTTTCTTCTAAATTCCTTTTCTTCGTTATTATCTTTTTCGTTTTTCTCTTCTTTCATTAGCTTTCCTCTTTTCTTCCTTCACGTCTGTTTTATAGAACACCTTTTTTCCTTCCCATTTTCAAACTACTTCTATTTTACATTCTCTCTTTTTTTTTCTAGACGAAATATTTCGTTTTCCTTTCTTTTCAATATATTTCTCTTCTTTTTCATGTTTTAACGCTCATCCCGAAGAGACTTTCCTGTTTTCTTGCCAATTTACTTCTGTCCTTTTTCTGATACAAATTACTGAAAGCATTTCAGACAGAATCAAACATTATATAGCAAAAAATAGAAAATAAGAACAGAAAAAAGCAAAATAACTGATAGACAACCGACATTTTCTTTTTTTTAAAATCAGTTTAGTCTCTTTCTTTTCACCTTTTTCGATGTTCCTGACGCATCCGATGGCAACTCTACAAGAAACAAATAATCAGACACTAATTTCTGTTAACCACTTCCAAGGTACATAAGCCTACTTGAAGAAAAATCAAACATACATTTCCTCTGGAAGATTCCAGACAGCTACGGATTCTAATTACAAGTTTTCTGGTGGATGGGAAAAAAAATTTCGTTGCTCCACTGGTAAAGACGTTTTCACATTAATGGGTAATGTCAATAAAAACGCAATTAATCAGGGTTCAGATCTCTAAGCGGACAGTATGAAAATTTATTTTAATTTCCAGTTCAATATGTTTAATCAACTTTTATGCTTATAAAATCCACACTCAATGAATCACTATCAGAAATCATTGCAGCTCCCAAAGCAATAATTTGTAATGTATTTTTTTTGCAATATATCATTGCAAAGATATTTTAAAAGTTTTCTCTTAAAGAATAGAATAATAAAATATAGCAATAACTTTTATTTATGTGATAAGGTCTAATATTTGCAACTAGATAAAGATAAGGTCTATTGATTTTTACAAGAGAATTATAGCTTTGTTACGTATACGACGTCCGCAATATGAGATAAGAAATAATTGCAGATATTAGTTTTATCCACTTGAAACTTTCTTTGCCTCATCATAAAGCCGAAGTAAAGACTCATTCTTACAAGAATCGTTCATTGTTTTTTTAAAAATGCCGCGTCACAAGTTTAATTAAAGTGTAGAGGGAAAACAAAGTTAAGCTGGATTTGACATTGCCTCAAAAGAAGTATGAATAAAACCGGATATACGTAATAAGAATAACGAATGAAGACAGCAAACTCAACAGGAAGTGATTCGAATGATTCAGTACTGCTTCACGAGTGGGATATCATAATAAATTGCGATTAAAACTTATTTTAAATAGCCTTTTAGCTAAATATTAAAAGACATTTTGCATGAACCCTCTTTGAACATCTTGAATGTAGCAAAATCCCAAATTCCAAGTGTGGATGCCATTGTCATTCACTCCGTCCTTAATGGCCTTGAATCTGAATTTCGACCAATCATTTTGATATAACTTCTTCGGTAATCATGTCACTTCAAACAAGGCGATTAAGCCACTAAGATGCAAGGGGCTTAATAAGAATGAAAGGAACTGAGAATACATTATTGAGGCGAGAGAACAATAAAAAGGGGACTCAAGGAGGCAAAAAATGACGATTGAAGATCGTAGTTGAGTGGAAAGCAAGAAACCGGAAGAGATTTTCTCAGGAGGAAAGTCTAAAAGAAGTAACTACTAGAATATAACTTATGATGAGACCTAAATCGTGATTAGTAGTATTACGCTGGAATTCATGAAGTCGGAGTAGGAAAGAGGAGAGCCCCAGCAGAAAGACTGGCGTGTGCAATATTTAGAGAGAGAGAGAGGGAATATACGTTACGGTGGCGATATTGAAGTCGAAATGTCAGGTGGGGACCTATAGCATTGCAGATACTTTAGAATTTGTCAAGAATCTGTAGATGCATAGCAGAAGTACTATACTTGTAGGGCGTATTTAAGCAAATATTTTATATATAAAATCCCAGGTAGTTATGACTTGAGATTAAAAAAGGATAAAAAGTTGACTTATAAAAGTCAAAATTGAAGAACAAAAAAAGCCATTATTGCCGTGAAACAGTAGAATCAGCGGAGCATTTACAGGAAGAAAAAGTAGTAAATTGGATATTCTAAAATGATGTCAAAACAGACAGAAAATTTAAAAAAAATCAATGATGTCATTTATGAGAATTTGTTGGATGATTTAAAAACCAAATTAAATAAATAAAACCGAAGATCGTGTAGCACCAATGCAGAAACCAATATTCGGAAGACTAATCCGAAAAATGAAACGAGAGCGATCATTTTGTATTAACGGTTCATATATTGTCACAGAGAAAAATTGCTGATAGAGAACTTTTTGTTGTGGATCGAGTAGGCAACTACATCAAATAAATATAATTATATTACATAATATAATATAAAACTTTGTTAACATTTTTTTTTACAGATTATTGATTGTATAATTGTTACATAATTACATTGAAATTATATTGTTTAAAATATATTTTACAAAACGAAACACTGCATATTATAAAGCATCTATCCCAATGGGGAGAGAGACACAATGCCCCAGGGGGCGTTGTACTTAAAACTAGACCAATAAGAAATAGAGCAATAGATGTCAATTAAAAATTCCATTAAAAGATAGAACAATAAAAATAATTTTTGAATTTTTAATTTTTGTTTTCTTTAAAACAATTATTAACACCGAATTTTAGACTTTGTCACTCGTTCTACATACTGGTTGAGGAACAATATTACTGTTGACAATAACAGGTTTCTAAATCTCGTAGATGATCTCGAATTATCTCGTATTTCATGTAGCGCTAGTAATACACTAGACCCAGTAGCAAACATACAATAATGGCCTGATATCATATTATTACTTTATAGTCAACTTTAATGTTTAAAAAATTTAAATGCAATGTCAATTCGTCATCTGTTACCATGTTGCATCTTTTATCATCTGTCATCTTGCATTCTTTTTATTCTCATTAAGCATTAATAATTCTAAAAAATAAAACCAGTTAGTCTGATGATAGCAAAAGCGTGAAACCTAGGGTCACAAACTCATATCCATACAACTAAATATGTTAGCTCTATCACTGATATTGAACACTTTACAATAAGCACCGCGCATATATATATATATATATATATATATATGTATATATATATATATATATATACAGATATATATATATATATATATATATATATATATATATATATATATATATATATACACACAAATATATATATATATATATATATACACACACACACGCTATATATATATATATATATATATATATATATATATATATATATATATATATACTATGTGTATGTATGAGTGTGTCTGATGAGAATAAGAAATAGCTCATGAGAGAAAAAAGAGACACTTTTTTTAAACAACGGAAGCCTCTAAAAATTATAAAAAATAAAACAAAATACTTTCCTGGTGATTCAAATAATTTTTGACAAACTCTCTACGAGATGAATTTCTTACTAACCAAAGAAACCCGAGTAAAAGTCGATAGTGAATATTTCAACCATTTTTGCATTTTTTATCTTCTTTTCGAGTTTTTTCATCTTAGTTTACATTTCCGATGAGGTTTTTTTTTTTTTTTTTGGTGGGGGAAGAAAACATAAAAAAACAAATTCAGTGCAGGTCATCATGATTCATTTTCGTAGATAATTATTTTTTAGCTTGTCTTCATTCATTTTTTACCCATGTGAAATAAAGCATTTTTTCAAAATAAAATTATGCTAAATCTCTCTCTCTCTCTCTCTCTCTCTCTCTCTCTGTCTTCTCCTTTCTCTATATTATTTCTTATATTATTATTATTAATATTACAATATTTTCAATAACTTATTTGTTGATATGAGTTTTATAATCCAAATTTAAAAAACTTCTCATATATCACACACACACACACGCACGCATACACACACACACACACACGCACACACACACACACACACACACACACACACACATATATATATATATATATATATATATATATATATATATATATATATATATATAAATAAGGAAAGAGATGTAATTTTATTTATTACAAATACTTAGATATTACTTAAATGTTAATTTTAGTGGATACTGTATTTTAGTAGACGTTCCGGTTCTTTATTAATTTCCATCTATCCGAGAAATGTTATTAGAGAAAAATATACGCTCTCTGACAGGATCCAAACATGCGTTTCCCTAGTTGAAACCGTCATTAGATCTGAAGGGCCTTTGACCTTTCATCTACAAAGAGAAAAATAAAAATGGATTGACCAGGAAGAAGATATTTGATAAATGACGTGTTGCAACTGTGAAAACTAAAAAAAGATGCCTAATATTGAACTCATTGGTAGAAGAGATAGGAATAAACGATTGACTTTTAGTAAACATCACGAAAAAAAAAAACGTGTAGGTTGGTCGAAGCAGTACATGAAAACTAATATGTCAACATTAATAAGGATGAGAATAGAGGTACATTTTATGAACCTGATGGCTTGGCTAGTGGCCATTAATTAAAATAGTCAACCTACACGATTTAGAAGAAATTGAATGTCTGGGGATTAACGTTTTGGTCGAGTAGTATAAATAAAAAATTATAAGTCACAATTATTCTTATTTCTTGGTCAAGCAGTTTTTCCATTGTACAGATCACAATGAAACGTCATTGAACTGAAGAATACATTCAGGCAAGATCATTCTTCCCTATCTATCTATCTATCTATCTATCTATCTATCTATCTATCTATCTATCTATCTATCACAGTCTGTTCATATCTATCTATCTATTTATATATATATATATATATATATATATATATATATATATATATATATATATAATATAAAATATTAAAACTGATCCGCAAAAGGTCTTAATGTATTTATTATTACGGAGCAAATAATGAATAAACACCTCATATGGTTGATAAGACAGACGACCGATAACTTCGTCTGCCGAAATAGGCTATTCCCCTTAGGAGGTGATTTGTAATTTTATTGTTTATTTTATTATATATATATATATATATATATATATATATAATTATATATATATATATGTAACAATTACACGCTTTCCAGAAAATAAATAAAATGAGATATAACTAAAATAAACAATTCGCCGAACGTATTTATCGCAGCGGTCATAACTAGAAATTTATACGAAGGCAGCCCCCAAAATAATACAACCAACTCAAGGATAATAGAACTGAAACATACAAAAAAAGCACCAAAAACTAAAGTATACGATATTAACATGGAAGCTGAAAAGATCGCCGAAACATTAAAACTAGACGTCCGAATAAATTGCATAGTTAAATCACAAGCATTCATTACATTAGAAGACTATAAGGCCATCATGCTAGATAAGGCAATCTCTAGATACGGCCATCTCTAGATAATGTCATCTCTAAATAAGGTCATCTCTAGATAAAACCATCATATTAGATAAGGTCATCATGCTAGATAAGGCCATCTCTAGATAAGGGGATCATTGTAGATAAGGCCAAATATTGATAAGGCAATCTTTAGATAATGCCATAAGGCCATCTCTAGATAAGGCCATCTCCTTAGCTGAAATAAAAATAAAAATAGGCTCAAACCAAACAGATAACGAAGAATCATCGATTCAAGGGTAACTGAATGAGGCTGAAAACAGAAAAAAACGATGCATACAAAACTTCCTTTACGAACAGTAAATATGCGAAAAAATGTAAAAAAGAACAAATATAAAATAGTTACAAATAACCATATTCGGACCACCAATTATTTCTACTCAAATGGCCTACAGAATCATTTCAAACATAACCAATAACTGTGAGGAAAATAGACCTTCTACCCATAAGAAATCATTGTCCAGGTTATATAAATAGTCGGCTCAAAACACAACACACATGACCTGAAGATTATATTGTCTGATAAGTTTAATAACATTATCATTGAAAGACGAAAGAAAATTACCATATTGATACATGTTTTTAATCCTATCTAAGCTTTCGGCTTACATAAGCCATTATCAAAACTTGTCTATATTATTTAATGAAACATGCATCAATGAAAAATTTCTGCCTATATATATATATATATATATATATATATATATATATATATATAGTACAAGTAATAAATCCGTTGGCATATATTCCAAGTGGATCCTAGTAATATTAAATATTAAAACTGATCCACAAAAAGAGCACAATGTATTTATTATTACAGAGCATGTAAATTACATAAAAAAATCCCAAATTATCTCATATGGGGATGATCCATCTCCACCGGGTTTGAACAAGACTAACGTACCTAGCATTGGTTGAAAATATATCCATCCTCATGTGAGGTAACTTTGGATTTTGTTGTTTATATATATATATATATATATATATATATATATATATATATATATATATATATAAAAAGAAATATAGAGATAAAGCGTATTGTAAATATAAAAGTGAACATTGAAGTCAACACTCAGAGGCGACAGATTGTTTCATGCTAAACTCAGTCACCAGGCCATATGTGTTGGGTTTCACGATTATTTACATATACGAGTCAGTGACGTATTGCGTGTATTGCGTCTATTCTAACGGTGATTTTGATGGAAATGGATTGTTAATTTGTTTATTGTTTATTTATGTATTTAGATTAATTAATGTACTTGTTTTTTCTTATTTATTTTATTTTATATATTTTTCTATTTATTCTTTTCGGTTTTCGATTATTAAGTAACTTAGTAAAAATTTTTGTGATCTAGTGATTTTACAGTGGCTTGGTATATTACGTTGTTTTGTAAGCAATTACCGTTTAAGAGACATTCGTTCTTTATTCTGCAGTTTCAAAAGGTTTAATTTAATTTTTTATTATTTCTGCCATGTTCTCTGTGCACTCTAGCTGATGTTTACAGTGATTTTGTTGAATATTCTGTGGAGAGTGCGTGGAGCGGGGAAGTCTTTGTAAGAGTTTGATGAATATATTTCCTACGTTTGTTTTTATGTTTTTGGTGTTCAGTGGGTTGAACCATTTGATGTTTCTTTTCCTGTTGGCTTTTTTGCTCTGTAGTAAGTTTGTGTGTGTTGCTGGGAAACCATTATCTTTTTAGGGCTGTTTCGTAGTCTTTCTTAGCTTCGTTAAATATGGTTTCATTGGAAGAATTGTCTGAAAGACTGCGGTTAATTGATTTTGGTATTTACCTGATTATAGATGGCGGGTGATTGGAAGATGTGTGTATATATACAGTGGTTCATCATGGGGTTTTCTGTCTGGTTTATATGTACCTTTTCTTAGGTTGAAGGTGACATCTGGAAAATCTATTTCGTTAAGGTTAGTTTTTATGTCTATGTTGAATCCGTTATTTTTGAAAAGATTTATTAATGCTTTTCTAGTTTTGTCTATGTTTTGTTTGTTGTAGTCTCTCAAGATTATGAGACTGTCGTCCCTGTAAGTCCTGTATCATTTCTATGTATTATTTTGCTTAGTTCATGTCGTAAGTATATACCTATAATTTCGTAAGACGGACCGTCAAAGCTTCCCATAGTAGTGTCAAGGATCCATTCTTTCTTTATCCATGCGTCTTCATTGTCGAATAGTATTGATTTACGGGAGTGTTTAATGATATCGATTTCTTTTGTGTTTATTCTTATTTGTTTCTGGCCCAAAGTGATGGCAAATAACACCAAAAATATCGTAGAAAATATGGAAAAGAACATCTGCCTACAATAATCATTCCAAAAACTGCAAATTTGCTTGGAGGAAAAAATAGCTATTATTACCTTCCCAGACCATGATAAAACTACAAAATAAACGATCAGAAATTATCTCAAAAGGCAGACATGAAAAAAAATTTTTCCTACGTTTACTCGAAAACTGAAAAGAGTAAAAAAAAAAAAAAGAAGAAAATATAAATAAATAAGAAAAACTAAATAAAATAAATTAATCCAAGCAAATAATAAACAAATTAAAAATACATTCCAGCCATGATAACCTTTAGAATATGCTGAAAAGTATAAATAAAATAAAAATAAATAAGCAAAAATAAGTAAATATAATCAATCCAAATAAATAAATCAAGGAAATAATAAGGAAATTAAAAAAAAAAAAACACTCCCGCCAAAATAATTGTTAGAGTAGACTACAACAATTAATGCAAAAACTGGACGAAAAATAGCTATAATTACCTTCCCAGACCAAAACAAAATACTAAATAAACGATCTGAACTCATCTAAAAAATATTACTACATTACTTAAAAATCGAAAAGAATAAATAAAAATATATAAAAATAAAAAAGAAAAAGTAGAATAAATTAATCCAAATGCATAAATAGATAAACAATAAACAAATTAACAAACAACTCCCGGGAAAATAACCGTTAAAATAGACTGGAATGAATAAACAAAAATAAAAATGAATAAGCAAAAACAAGTAAAAATAAATAAAAAGAAAATTAATAAACCACTCCCGACAAAATAGTCTGTTAGAATAGACCACAAAAATCAATCCAAAAATTTGACGAAAAAATAGCTATAGTTACCTTCCCAGACCAAAACTATCAACTAAATAAACGATCAGAACACATTTAAAATTTTTACTACGTTACTAGAAAATGGAAACACGAAAGAAAGAAATAAAAGTATATAAAATAAAAATAAATAAAAAACAAGTAAAATAAATGAATCAAAGCAAATAAATAAATAAAAATAAACAAAAAACGAGACGCGTTAGATTTGAGCAACATCCAGCCGACACACCGGGGTTAAATAGGAAACTAAAATGATACATATGACACACTCATATCCTCTCTCCCACCTCACTTCCTCACTTCGTTAATTTTACGTATTGAGGTCCGTAAAAAACGTGTGAATTTCTTTTCATTTTTCATTTCAGCTTTTGGAAGTAAAGTCTGATGATCCAGAACCCTGTTATGGGTTATGGTGAAATAGCTTATTACATGGAATCTTAACGTGGTCTGTCTTTTATTCAAACAAATATATATATATATATATATATATATATATATATATATATATATATATATATATATATAATTCCCTCCCAAGGCGATAATGACACTATAGCGTAAAAGTTTAGTGGGAGATGAAAAAAATGAGAAAGCTTTAATGAACAAAAAAGACGATTCAGGATATATACGTGTGTGTGTGTATGTGTACTAAACTTATTCCGACAAACATAAAATAAGTGTATATATAAAATGAGAATAGGATGTTTGCGAGGTTCCCGAATCTTCCAGCCGATAGAGTCTACTTCCTTTTTAGTTTCTTTAGTTTCGCATCAACGCCTCAACGTTTATTTAATACCGACAACATTTTTTAGGATTTATTTTGTTAACTTTTTGTTCATTTTTAAAAATGTATTGCTAATATTTTTAAAAAAATGTATTGCTATAAAATCTGTTTTTATACTTTCATAGTGTTTTCATAGAGTTTGGGAGTTAACTATTTGTTCATAGCTGGGACCCTAACAGGCGCTACCACCACGAGTCAGGTTGGAGCTGGGAATAAAACCTTTTAAGAGGTGGCTCCTCAAAACATCCCTATCAGAGCCCTTGCTACCGGATGTAGTTTATCGTCATACCCAGGATACCTTTTTCTTTTGAAAATTGATATTCTAAATTTGGGCTTTTACTTCAACTTTAATCGCTGAGGAAAAATTCGTATGTTAATGAAAAATGTTGAATTTTTATACCCCTACTTTTAGAAATACTTACATTATGAACATTGAAAATATTCACTGTATTTAAATTAGTTT